GCAGCGCAGTCGGATGCCGCGTCTAGCGTCACTGGAACGCAATCAACTGGTCAACAACATCGAAGCAATATGCAACGAGCTGTTGTTGACAGGAGTGGACATAGCACTTCTGGTACTACGGATGTACTCGGTTCTTATGTGGTACGAGGCAGGTCTATCGTTGATGGACAATCTAATGGTAGAATTACAGGATGGAACCTTGCACAAGTACGTGTAAGATCAATTCTGAAGAAGCAAGCAGTCTCCACTGAAGACAGGGGAGAGTTGCTGATGCAGAAATGGCAAGCACAACTAGAAGCTGCCAGTACTTTCAAGGACAATGACAGCATGGTCAGCGATGGAAGCTTGAACATGCAGATTTACAAGTCGACCTCGAAGATGGATTCATTGAAGCACTGTTCTCAATGGACCAAAGACAACAAGAAACCTTTCAAATATAATGGAAGTAAGCACTGGGATATCGATCTTGGTGTACATCTTGATTCTGGATCTACGTTCAGCCTACGAATGAACGAAGATTACGCCAAACCGGGCACTGTGTCTGACCTGGATTACATGTTCAACTACGGTACGAACACTGGCCAACGTGACCTGCATCAACAGGTCGAATCAAGTATTATCGAAGGACACACTTGCTTGCTAGACACTGAAGCGCAATGTAACCTTGATAGTTTATCCGAGCTCGTGAAGCTTGGATTTCGTGTCGTTATGGACACTGACATTGAAAACTCCTTCATCGTTACGAAGGGGGAACAGAGAATGAGGTATGTGCATTGAAACGGATTGTATACTTTCGTACCCGATGGTAGGGCAGAGAGTGATGAAGGATCCGAATACTCTGAATGTGAATACAGAGAATGCGGAAATGGTGACTGTGACGCGATTGGTGTCGCACACACCGAATGCCATAAATGTGGTGTTATTTTCTGTGGTAGAATTTTAAAAATTAGCTATTCCGATTCCGATTATTGTGGCATACAGACGGTACGGGAGAATATTGAAGGGTTCACTGATAAACAAGTTGAGCGGGCTAATCGCGCACGATCCGTGTATCATATGGCTGGTGCACCAGGAATTCAAGCGTTTTGTATTGCAGTGAGATCTGGTCTGTTCAAGAACTGCAACGTGAATGAGGAAGATGCAATCATTGCCGAAAAAATATATGGACCTGGTTCTTCGGTCCTAAAAGGAAAGACGAAGCGTCCCACACCTGAAGGAGTGCGGGATGACTGGATAGAAATACCAAAGGAGTTATTAATGCACAATCTGAATGTTGTGCTGCACATTGATCTTGTTTTTGTTAACAATTCATTCGGACTCACGACCATTGATGGGAGTGTGAGATACCGGTGTTATATACCCTTGGCTTCACGATC